ATTGTAACGCAGCCATGCCTATTCACTTACATGTCGTCTAGAGCTGCTTTTGTGTTACAATGACAATTCTGAGTAGCTGTAACAGCGATCATAAGGCCTGCAACCTCTATATTTCACTTTACAGTAAAAGTTTGTAGACCTCTGTTCTAGATTAAGAAAATTAAAAAGACATGGCAATTATGCACGCTGTGTGATCTTGGCCTGCATCCCAGATTTAAAACAAAACAAAATGATTTTTTGAAAGAACGTTATTGGGAAAGCTGGGAAATTTTATATGGGCTGTACATTAAATGAAAGTATTACTTCAATGTTCAGTTTCCTGAATGCTGTAATTATTTTGTTGTATCAGAAAATATCCTTGTTACAGGAGACAGGTGAAGTATTTCAGAGTAAAAAGGTGTCATCTTCAGAAACATCTCTATATTAATTCTTAATGATACAGAAAAAAATGTATGTATAATATCAATTTATGTAACATAGATGAGAAATATTAACAATTGATCAATGTTCACTGCCCCACAGTAACTTTTATATAGGTTCAAAAGTTGGGAGAAAACTAAGCAGCTCCCTGAACGGAGCCAGGTGTGGTGGTACCACGTGTGGTCCCAGCTACCCTGGAGGCTGAGACGGGAGGATCACTTGTACCCCAGAGCTTGAGGCTGCAGCGAACTATGATCATGTCACTACACTCCAGCCTGGGTGACAAAGCAAGACCCTGTCTCAAAAAGAAATTTTAAAAATGAAAAGCAAGGCCGGGCATGGTGACTCACACCTGTAATCCCAACACTTTGGGAGGCTGAGGTGGTGGATCATTTGAAGTGAGGAGTTTGCAACCAGCTGGGTAAGATGGTGAAACCCCATCTCTACAAAAACAAAACAAAACAAAAATTAGCCACGTGCGGTGGTGCGTGCCTGTAATCCCAGCTATTCTGGAGGCCAGGGCGGGGGAATCGTTTGAACCCAGGAGGCGGAGGTTTCAGTGAGCCAAAATCATGCCACTACACTCCAGCCTGGGTGACAAAGGGAGACTGTCTCAAAAAACAAATAAATAATACGGAAAGAAAGAAGTTCCCTGAATGATTGTGCAGTTGTAGCGAACTGTAGGGAACTCCAAAATCGTGTAAATTCGGCAGAGAACCCCAGCACATAGCATGCGCTCTGTAAAGAAATTCAGCCTGGGCCAGGACTAGGAGGGTGCCTAGCAAAACACGGTGGCTGGCCGGAAAATGAAATGACCAGTTGGCAGACGTGACCATTCATGCATGCACTCACCCATTCATGCCCTGTTTTTTTACTGAGCACCTTCTATGCACTAGGCCCTGTGCCAGGCACTAGGCATGCCCTCCAGGGAGCTCCAGATTTGGACACGGACAACGACAGCTCAGAGAGACAGAGGAACCTGGCCTAAGTCTAATGGGCCCTTCTGTCCACTCCCAGGACCCCCCAGTCCTTTGCAGAACAGAAATGGGGGTGACGCTGGCTCAGCTTAAACGGCTGCATCATCAGTTCCAGCCTCTACAAGTGTGCCAGGCTGGGTGAGGCAACGCCAGGCACCAGGCACTGGGTAAGGAGGCCTCCCCTGTCTCCCAAAGCGCTCGTGGGCCTGGCTGTGGGCTGGCCCAGGAATGTAAACCTGGGTATGTTTGGGAAAGCTGGACCCAGAGGTTTCCCAGCATGGCCCACATGGGCCTGCTGCAGGCTGGCGGACAGATGTGCATGCGTTAACATGCCCCAGAGGGGCCTGGCACCCTTCCACCTGGGGCAAGCATCTGGAATCAGTTAGGAGCCAGGCGGCTGGGGCACAGTTACTTTAGCTGAGACTGAGGCTGAGCTGGGGCAGCAGCCCAGGAGGGAGGGGAGGCAATGCCAGCCTGAGAACAGCAGCTCTTTGCTAGAAGGAAGGAAAGAGAGAGCTTGAAGCTGGCAAGACGCCGCCTTGTCCAGTGCTCCCAGGGCCAGGTTGGACCAAGTCAACTTCCCCAAGAGAGGGTCAGAGAGCCAGGATCACATCGGTGGCCCATTGCAGGCCTATTCCAGGCTATACCCTGAGGCCCAAGGGCCATACGGTGTCCTGGTTAGGGCTGGACTCTGGAGCCAGATGACCTGGGTTTGAATCCCAGCTTGGCCTTTACCTAGCTCTGGCACCATGGGCAAGCATCTCGGTTGCCCCTCTCTGAGCCTCAGTTTCCCCATCGGTATCAAGAGTTAAGTCTGGCTCTGGGCTGCAAGTCTGCCATGAGCCCGTCCATGAGCTTTCTTGGGTTGGTCCCATGGGAGCCTCAGCAGGGTCTGGACAGCAGGATTGTGACCCCCTGGCCGCCTCCCAGGGCTCCTCACATAGCTCCCCTCCCCTCAGTCCTTCAGGCCAGGGTAGGAATCATCTCCATGTTTCCTTTTCATTTTTCCTAGAGACAGGGTCTTTCTCTGTCACCCAGGCTGGAGTGCAGTGGTATGATCTCTGCTCACTGCAGCCTCTACTTCCCAGGCTCAAGTGATCCTCCTGCCTCAGCCTCCCAAGCAGCTGGGACTACAACAAGCATCACCACACCTGGCTAATTTTTAAGACTTTTTGTAGAGATGGGGGTCTCACTATGTTGCCCAGACTGGTCTCACTATGCTGCTGGAGCTCCTGGGCTTAAGCAATCCTCCCACATCGACCTCCCAAATCACTGGGGTTACAGGTATGAGCCACTGTGCCAGGCCTGGTAACCCCAGGGTGCTGTACCCTCCTGTCGGGTTCCTCTCCACCCCAGGGTCTCAGCCTTGGCACAGCTGATGTCTTGGCTCATGGCCTCATGGTCGTGTGTCCTGAGTACCGTAAGATGCTTAGCAGCATCCGTGGCCTCTGTACACTGACCCTCATAGTGTCCTCCTCCCCAGTGTAGCAACTAGAAACTCCCCAGACATGTCAAAAGTCCCTGGGGGTGGGGGAGAGTCACCTCTAAGTGAGAACCACTGGTTTACCCCTTTGACAAGTGGCTTACTCACTCCCTCCCTAGCTGCTGAGATCTGAGCATGGGAAACTGGCTGGCGGCGCCTGATGTGGCGCATGCCTGAGAACACCAACCACCTCACCAGGCGCCCAGCCCTAAGGGCAGTAAAAATCACTAGTAAGTGTCTAGAGCCTGGGATGCACTTAATTTCTAGACCAAGAACTCATCAGTGCTCTGCCTGGAGAGGTTGAGGGATTTTTATAACTAGATGACCTTGGAAAAGCCACTTGCCCTCTCTGAGCCTCTCTGCCCACATCAGTGCAGCGGGGCTGAGCAGAGGATCGAGAGATGCTGTGTCCAGCATCGGTGCACAGTAGGTGCCCAGCTAATGGTTTCTCCCCCCGACTCCTCTCCTCCTGGTAGGTGGGGGCCTCACCTGACTGTCTGGTTCTGGACATGGACGTCAACGACCAAGCTGGCCTCAGAATCACAGGTCGGCAGCAGCGAGGAGCTCATCTCTTCTGCTGCCCAGAATCCTAGGAACATGAGCTGAGGAGGGAGCAGACGGCGAGGTGTGTGGGTAGAGACAGCCGGGGGACCCTCCCAGGCCAGGTGGGGACCCCAGCCAAGCTCTACAGCCCAGCACATCCCTTGTCCCCAAGCCCCAGAGGCCTGGCTCATCCAACACTGTCATGGGTGCCGAGGATGCAAGGGGTCGGTCCCTGTTGCCGCTCAGGATGGGAATGCCCACTCAAAGGACAGCTGCAGCCCAGACATTGACCAAAAACATGCTCCCCAGGAGGGTCCCTAACACCTGGCATCAAGTCCAGGATAGAGTGTAGATGAAGTCAGGGGCATGGGGTATCCAGTCCACTCAGTAGTGGGGTACAGAACTGAGATCCTTTTCAGGAGGGGTGACATCCTGGCCCCCTGAGCCCCAGGAGCCACCCCCTCCTCCCACCACAGAGTGGACTAGGGCAGGGGTTGCTGGGTAATCTGAAACAGGTGTGTG